GACGCTGGTACAACATTCTAGCTACTTAAGGTACGCTACTAGTTTAATTTTCTGGAAATTGTTGGAGAGTAGGATTTGGCACTGGGTCTGTCTGCTAAATACTATAAATTTTGTGCTTAAGCCTCATCTGATGTCCAAAGCGGTCGATTGACTCAAGCCGCTCTTGAGGGGCCTCTAGGCTTTCATGCATTATGTTCGTATCAACAGCATATCGAAATGTGTTATCTTGTAATGCGGTCTTAAATTCTTTCAGTGAATATTAAATAGCAAAGGAGAAATTATACAGCCCAGCACATCGTAATATTGCTAATTTGTATCTCTGAGCACCACTAACTTTTGTCCGCCGTACAGGTTCCCTATTATACGAAATTCCTTGTAATCAATGCCGATATCTCTCAATTTGATTAGATAAACAGAAAATAATAGTATACAGTATGCAAATTGAAAACTTAGCATTTTATTTAGATGGTCATAATAGAATCTACGACACGTACCATATTCTAGCAGATCAGGATAACTAGTCAAAAACCTAACCTGTTCTAGAAAACATTGTAATGACGGATTTTACACCAAAATTATACTCTTGAGAATGAATAAAAAGGACGAAGGAGGGATACAAAGAATTTAATTCGGTAACTCAAATAAACGTCAAAGTTGGACCAAACGCTTTTTCGCGTAAATTTTCTTCTAACGAGTTTTGACGAATTGGTCCGAATGAATAAACGTTTTCCAATGCTTACAATGGCAGCAACCAGCACGTCAGTCGCTCAGTGGTCTACTCGCATAGATCTATGCGAAAAAAAATATCTATTTCAATGTTACTACCTTAAACAATATGCTGACCGTGGAATTGGAACTGTGCTCACGCTACTCACGCTACCTTTACTATGGTAGACCATTAAACTTGAAGTTTGTGATGTATACAATACTTTTTAAAGGTAAAATTGGAGAGCGTGTATCATCCGTTGTGTTATGTATTGAACATTTTTGAACACCTTGTTGTGATTTCATGTACACCGTGAGTTGAAGCGATTACCATTTTTAGCTTCACTTCTTACATATTAGTATTATTCAGAGAGGTTATTGATAAGGTCCTGCACTTATCCCCAATTAGAATAAAGCATGTTTGTGAACCGCCAGATAGTATCTAGTATTGTTTGTTTTTGCAAGATATTAAGAAAGATGTCCTTATATAAGTACTAAGTACTACTACAATATTATGGAAGGTTATTCAACTTATCCTTTGACTTGCCTTAAAATACCCTCCAAATGTCTTCCTAGGGAGAAAGTGATCTCTAATTGAGACTCAATGTCCGCGAACACTTACATCACTCGCGTTTGGATTGTTGTGAATTTTTTCTCAAAATGATCTTGGAATGACCTCCAAGTGGCCTCATAGTGTCTAACTGACCTGTGATTGGGACTAAGTAATCAGAAAAACTTACTTAAAACGACACGCAGTTGGGCTCAACTGTTCGGCTTTTCTTGTGATCAAAATTATATAAATGCCTGACAAATTGTATTTTTTGACAGCTTTCTATTCTATTCGTCATTGTCTGTCAGAGCGGTCCGTAGGACCTTTGCTCTTGGTTGAAGTATTGTAAGTCAGTAGGTCTGTCAGGTCTGGTTGCCTAGATACCAAACAAGGTCAGGGAGAAAGAAGGGAAGAAGGAAGGAAGTAGGGAGAGCAAAGAAAACAGAAGTGCATCAATTTGAGGGGTGCCTTGGCATTGCTAGTTAGTATTCGGCAATTTTGAATTGATCCTAAAATTAATTTTGGGATTGGTTGTTGATGAAAAATTATAATTTTGGTTGGACCTAAAGTCGCACGATTTAATTTTGTTCATAGTGCGAGTCGCGGCCTTGTGTGCTTGCGAACTTGCTCGACTGTGTAGTCTACTGACTCGTGCAACAAAGGGTTGTTATGCGATTCTGCTTAACTATAACGTAGCTGCGCTTGTTGTTTGATGTAGTCCCTTAGGTAAGGGATGTCAAGGTCTCTGTGAAGGGTCTCGTTGGAAACATACCATGGGGCGATAGTGATTGTACGCAAGGTTCTGTTCTGTAAAACGTGCAGGCTACGCAAATGCGTTTTGGCGAGAAAACACCAAGCCGCACTTGCGTAAGTGATCGCTGGTCTAATAACCATCTTGTATAGCCGAACTTTGTTGATCAAACTTAATTTTGATGTTCTACATAGCATAGGGTAGAGTTGCCGAAACGAGATTTGGAATTTAGCTTTTAACGCTTCAGTGTGCTTCTGCCAGGTTATCCCGTTGTCAAGAGTGACACCCAGATACTTAGAAGAGCTTTCCCATGGTACCCGAGGTCCATTCACTGAAACCTCAGACGGGGCGCCGCTACGTTTTTTAGTACAATAGATACCCTGCGTTTTCGAATGATTAATTTTGATCAGCCACCGATTCGCCCATTCCAATACCTCGTCCACTGCCTTTGCAGCCTGTCGTGAACTAGATCTCCAGAGCACGACTGGGCCACCAGGGCAGTGTCATCAGCATAGAGATGGGTTTCACAGCTGCTGGGGCAAGGGACGTCATGAATAAAAAGTGAATAAAGGACTGGTCCAAGAACTGAACCCTGAAGGACACCGCTTTGATGGGCCGTGTTGTCGACAGAACGTTATTAATTTTGATCCGAAATTTCCTACCCTCGAGGAAGGATTTCAAAAGTTTTAGTAGCCAGAAGGGGAAGCCCTTATGGATCAATTTGTAGAGAAATCCCTTGTGCCACACATTGTCAAATGCCTTTGTGACATCCAGAAGCAAGATGCCAGTACTTTCGTTACGGGTGAACCTCCTGGTTACTCGTTTAACAAGCCTTATGGAATGTAGCTCCTTACTATGCTCAGACCGAAAGCCAAATTGTACGTCAGGAATCACATTGTGGTCTGCCGAGAAATTCTCAAGGTGACGTAGAATCACCTTTTCAGCGAGTTAAGAAGGAGCTGACAGTAGACTAATGGTACGGTAATCCTGGGGGAATATCGAACCCACCTTCTTTGGAATCATTATGGCATCAGCGCTCTTCCACGCCGTTGAGAAGCGCTGGGTATTGATTATTGCCACGAGATAAGTTAAGGACTTCCGCAAAAGTAGCTTCAGCGCCTTATTAGTGATTCGTTCCTCTCCAAGTGCTTTAAGCACCTTGAGGTCTTTAAGATGACCTTGGAGCTCTGCTGGTGTGCAATGCGGAGTCTCAGGAGATTCCGCTGATGTGCCGTGCAGCTCTTCAGTTGAGGAATCTTCTGAAGATTCCTCTGAGTAAAAATCACTAAGGGAGGCACTACTGCCAGTGACGCCGTTGGCCCTAAAAAATCTCCTGACGGATCTTACAATATGTTGCTCCTCGTCGAGGTCATTATCATGGTCATAGTTGGGAGAGAACTGACTTTCCATTGCATCAGCGAAAACCTCGACCTTTTCCTGTGTCCTACAGACTATGCCCCTAGGACCGTGGATGTGCGGGAGTTGTTCTCGCTTTCCATTTCTGAGCAACTTTGCAACTTTCCAGAGAGGAATACTTGAGTCAAGCATCCCCAACAGAAAGTCGCTCCATTGCTCATTACGGAATTCATGAAGAGCATTTCTCACTTCATGAACACGATTCGTTGCTCTGTGAATGTCATCTGGGGGACAAGACCTCTCTCTTGCTTAATTGCAGCTCTTTTGTCAGAAATTTTCTGACGAATGTCTGCAGGGAGAAAAGGTCTGCCGTATCGTTGTACTGGTAGTACAGCTGCACGCTGGCGAGCTTGCTGAACGGAACTTGTCCACTCCGCTTGAGCAACATCTATATCGTTCTCATCAACTATGATCGAGATATTGGGGAACTCTCTAAGGAGCGACTTGTATTGCTCCCAATCAACCCCTTTCCTTGGAAGAGTTTTCCCTTCATTACCCACTTCCAGTACGATAGGAAGATGATCGCTTGAACTGTCGTACATGATTCGATGATTCTACAGTTTCTAGATATCGCGAAGTCAATGACATCTGGTGCCTGAAGGTGATTAAACGGGTGGTGAGTCGGCTCCTCAGTGCTGTGTATGAGGTAGCCGTTTCGTATCACATGGTTGTAAAGTTGAATCCCACTGGTGGAGTTCAACCTAGAGTGCCATGCTCGATGTTTACAGTTAAAGACCCCTGCTACAACAAGCAGATCCGAGCAGTCAAATGGGACTTCCAGATCCGTCTCTTGCAGCCTGGCACCCCATCTGACATAAACCGATGTGATTTTCAACGAGATACCTCCCGTCATATTCACTACCACGGGAGCTGCCTCGATGCTCTGCATCTCAGCGTTTGTGCTTCTGTAATAGTCAATACCACGTTTTACTAGCACTGCCAAACCGCCACCCCGTCCAGTTAATCTATCAGAGCGGATAACATCATAATTTGGGAAAGCTAGACGATCTCCCGGATTAAGCAATGTTCCTGCAGCAGAGCCACATCTACGCTTTCATCCAAAAGACCTTGATGAAATTCCCGTTTTTTGGGGACATCCCTAAGACCCAAACAATTCCAGAAAAGAATTTTGATAAATTAAGGCTGTCTGATATTGTACCTAGCCATTTAGCGGAAAGATCGCCTGCAATGCCTGAGTGGCGCTTATCAGGGGACTAATAATCTGCTGTAGGGATCTGAGCGCTGTAGCTAGGTCCACATTTTGAGTAGTCGTAGATGAGCTCGAAACAGCAGGGGCAGTTGAGGTGGCATCTTTTGCTGCGTCCGCGTAGGACTTTGCTCGCCTTTGTGCGATGACTTGTAGATTTCTCCTAGGAGTAAATCTACAGGTAGGACTATTTGCCGGATGGTCCCCCCCACAGTTCGCACCTCTGCGCACCTCTTGTCCTGTTTGAGGGCACATAAGTAAGTGTCATGTGGTCTTGGCCACATTTTAGACACTTTTGCGGCGCAGTGCAATACGACTGTGCGTGTCCATACTTCTGGCAGCGGTGACACTGCTCAATGAGTCGATAGTTCTTCTGAACTTCGACTCTGATAGAGAGCCCCAGCAATTAGTGCTCGTTGAACACTTGCTGTGACTTCTCCGTCTTACGCAGGATCACCACCACCAAGGGCATGGGCACGCCGCCGTTGCGCTTTAGGCGAATGATGTGAAAGGGAGCGTAACCCTTCTGTTCTAGCTCATATTTGACCTCCTGTTCGGTGGTTGATGCTGGTATACCTCTGATAACCGCATGGATGTTGCGTTCAGTGGGCAAAGGGAAAGTGTGATGAATGTTTTCCTCTTTGAAAAACGGATTATCCTGCGATAATCGTCTTCGGTTTTGGGGATGAAACGTATCCCAGCGTCAACGGCGACTGCTCTTTCAATACGAATACCAAGACTTACAAAGGAATAGTTTAATGTGCGCGCCATTTTGTCGCATCTCTCAACACGATTGGAGTAATACGCACCTGGCAAGGCGATTGGGCCTGTGTGTTTAGAGATCCGCTGGATGGCAAGGAAGATGAGCTGCAGCCAGCCAATGCATCAGACTTCACTTGGGGTATAACAGGAGGAGCACTCTGTGTGGATGCTGATGCGGTAGAGGGTTCAGACACAGACGGTTTTAGGTTGCCTGAATGTTTGTTATTTGGGGATTTCGTCGGTAGCGGAGGAAATTTTGTATTGCGCAGTCTCACAGATGTGAAAAGATCACCCTGTGTGTCCTCATCGGTCTCAGTATGTAGGTCACTCGAATGGCTGTTACGTCTACGTTTTGCTGTTTTGGAAGAATCAACATTAGGAACTGATTTATTAATGATACTTGTACAAACCTGGGCATTAAGTGACTCCACACAGTCAGTCAGTCTCTGAATCTGGGCTGCTTGGTCTGCAATTATCTTCAAAAGTATCTGGTTCTCGTTTTCCTTCTCCAGTATCGGTTTCATCCCTGATGCCATCATTGGCGTCATCTCGTTTTGGTTTTCTGGAATATGTTCCAAAGTAGCGCCAACTCCACTCAAAGCAGTAGAGGGGTCGCCTGGGGACCCCTCGGGTTCAGCTTCCATGATATTATTGCCTTCTTTCTTGCCAAAATATAAAAATTTCTCCGGATGCAAAATTTTTGGCAATTAATGGCAGATGATGCACATCTGTCAATGTTTGGCAGCTTTTCGGTATTCTAGATTACTGTGCGTACTCAGAACTATTTTATATCAAACATATTTGATGTTTTCGTGTGTTCGACCTGTCTCTGTTTTTGAATACTTGTTGGTTATTTTACAATGACCAATGATAAATTGATAGCTCTGATGTACAAGAACAGATCACTGTGGGATACGAGAGACAAAAAATATCATAGTCATATTACAGAAATGGGAGAAAACTTACCAGTAAATGATTTTTGCTTATTCTGATATGGGTACATTATGGTATCAATTACATGTTACACACATTTACATTAATTACACTTGTCTAGAGATACTTCAAAAACTTTAGTAGTCGGTCCAGCAACTCTTCAAATAACATTTCAAACTCGCCTTTGACGTCCTTAATACAAAATAAAGAATGAACATACTCTGTTTTCCACCATTTAACAACAATAGCTCAGTAAAGGACTTTCAACGTCAACTCGTCCATATTTGCTGCGTGGCAAAAACTTAATGACCACCAAAATATTAGAAAACGTGCACAGTGTAACCGTATCCGTATTCGTCAGAATTCGCATCCATAGTAACCGTAGTTTAAGTCTAAAGTGGCTACGTCGCTAAGTAGCTTGTAAAAACGGTAAACTTCAAACAATTTATAAATTTTCAGAAAAGTTTTGGCTATTACTTCATATCTCCTGTTGTGCACCTTTAGGTAAAGAATAAATTTTGAAGACATTTGTATCCTTCACAAATTTACTCTGGAACAGTTTTACTAATACTCCATAGTTTTTCGAATATATGGTAAAATATTTTTTTCAGCTTTCATGGTTAATAAAGAAGGTGCCCCGCAAATTTTCTTCTATATCCAGATGAAGGACCTCTTCATTTACCGTCAAGAACATAGTTATGTTGTATCCATATATACATTTTTTTCTGAAATTCTGATCTATCGCTAGATAAAAATGATATATGTCACGGAGGATTTTTGAAAGATTTTTTCCTGGCTAAGAATACTTTTTGCAGTAATTTTCGCATCACTCCGTTGCTTAATGATTGGAAAATGCAGACGAGATCAAACGAACAAAAAACTGTTTTGATAAAATATTGATTACTTCAAAATCACTTACGTATAAGTAGCGTTTGGCTGGTTTTTACATTAGGAGCGTAAAGAAAAATTTCAGCATTTCGTTCGTTACAACGTATTCTGCTGCTCCCAATTCAAAATTGCCAAAATCTTCAAAATAGAATAAAACAATGTAGCCTGTCATAAATAAAAGGAATAAAAAATTGGAATAAATTATTTTGACGTTGGCTTTGTATTCGCGTATCTATTTTTATGCCAATCTGTGATAGTTCATTTTTTATTTTAAATATCACCACCCGCAATATTAAACTTATTGGAATTTTGTACCACCAGGCCATTAAAAATGCATTACGGTGCATCTGAGTAAACTTGTACCCAAAGGGTCTAACTAACTAGAAACGAGAATATCAAACATGTTGCCCACCTACTGTTCTGCAACAAATAAGGTTGGATTTGGAATTTTCTAAGAATTTTCAAATCAGAGACCCTTTTCGGCTATGCTCAATCGGATGTTTCCAAAAGAAGGGTTTTAAAGTATTTATTTTGTCTATCTATTCTTGTAACTCAAAAATCGCTTTGCCAAATTGAAATATTTTTATTACGCTATAAAGTATAATCAGAAACCTTAAAGAGGTTGCGAAACATGTTTTGGAAGACCAAAAATTTTACTTTTCAAGATACTTTTCTGGTCTCATCCAAAAACTTAGTTTGGGAACGAAAGTCGTTTGTACTTTGCTCATAGCTCCACCGCCACCTCCTCTCTAAATTCCATCAAAATCGGTGCTGCCTTTGGAAGAACGCCAGCCGACCGACAAAAATCAGTAAAATTGATTTTCATGATGTAGACGTTACAAAATGTCAGAAAACTTGTTAGCTGAAAGCGAGAATCTTTCGAGTTACAATACTTCACCCGTGCAAGGTCCATATTATGCGCCATTGTGGTGATATATCACGATTGCCTGATGAGGTCTGAAAACATTCTACAATTTAAAACCTGTAAAAAGTGTTTGATGAATGAAATCAGGATGCTAGGAACCCTCTCGTTTTTATAAAAGACAATTTGAGCAAATTTTATACTCAGTTATGAATAGAGATCATCCCTCTTATTCCGTACTTTGTGTCGTACGACAAAAGATATAACAGCACAAAAGAGAACGGTTTTGCAGCCTTCAGCAAACTGCACTTTTAGCTGTAATTCTACCTCTCTCTACACTATAGATATAAAATGGGAACTTAAAATAGCTTATGGGAGTTTTAAGCTCTCTAGTTCATTAATTTTTCAAATAAGAGTTGTCTAAAAGCGATCTATCTGGATAATACTTTTTTATTATTTTTTGTACACACTAGGGAAAATGCATGTTGTAATTTTCAAAACAAATATCGGAATTCAGGATTACTTTGCTTTCATACAACTTTACCTCAAGATTGTTGCAAAATTACATGATCAAACCCACAAGTTCACAGCTCGTACGCAGCGAAGAAAAGCGGCAGCCGCCATCTCCCACTGTACTCCTCTCCGGCCCCTGGCCAACAAACTATCATTTTCTTCAAAGCCAAGTTGTTGCAGCAATTGGTTGATACGTAGGAAGAGAGGGAGCTATTTATTCCGTCGAGGCATTCACATAAATATGATCGAACATCACTTACAGGTAAGTTCGTTTGATCGTATAGTTATGTTCCGGCCTCGTCTCGGAAATAGAACAGGTGTAGATGTTGCAACAACATACAAGTACTACTAATGCTCTGCAATAGTAAACGATAGGTGGTACACAACGACACAAATTGTATACAATGCATGTGTCAACTGAATTTATATTTACACTGTAATGAATAAAGTTAGGGCTTTTAACAACAGGTAATGCGACGTTCATAGGTTCAAAAATAAAACTACCATAGTACATGGTAACAAGCAAAGAACGTAATACCACAGTTGTGTTTAAGGTGTGGAAACTTGGTTAACGCGTTTCATGTTGCCATTATTAAGTTTACCAATTTCTGCTTCTTCCGCTCAAGTAAGGATACTTCTTTTCTGTCACAATTTTTTACTGGCCTGAACGACTTCGGGTTAAGCAGTTTTTTGTAATTAATTAAAAAAGAGGTGTTAACTGTTGCTCGGATATAATCAAGGCAATGTCTATCGGTATAACCAAAGAGAAAGAAATACAGACAGAAAAGTGTCTTTTTCCTTAAGTATACCAGAAATGGTTTATTAACTTGTGAAGACATGAGGGGTACAGTTTACTTCAAATGGCGCAGCATTGTTTTGGAAAAGCTGTCCCTTGAATATGAATCTGAAATATATTCTGTGACTCTCCCTGATGGGTACCAAAATCTGTGTATATTCCGAACCCAGACTCGCGAAGAATGTATCCCTACGGAGAAGTCTAATTACAGTTCGATAGCCTTCTGACTCAAACGTTTTATACCTATAAACAGATTAAGTGTCTTGATGTTAGGAATCAAACGTATACTAAGTGACATATAAATCCGAACACCCAGTTTAAATGGTTTTATTTTAATAAAATTTTGTATAAGTACTTAATGAAGCATAATAAGTAAATGATAAAAATTTCAAAATGATTGCACTGCTTTAAATCCCTTTGACCTTTAATAATGTATGGATGCACCTTGATGTGCTACGCATTCTCCAAGGCGCCTAGGCATGCTTCTGATCAGGTGGTCAATGTCCTCCTGTGATATCTCATTCCAGGCAACCACCAACTCCTGCCGAAGTGCTTCTAGAGTCTGAGGAGGACGTTGCAAATTGAGCAATCTCCTACCCATCATATTCCACACGTGCTCAATTGGGGATAAGTCGGGAGATCTTGGTGGCCATGGTAACAATGTGACATCATTATGTTGAAATAAGTCTATTGTGACTCTTGCAACATGTGGTCGGGCATTATCTTGTTGAAAAGTTGGATCTGCCAGGGTGTCAAGATAGGGTAAAAGATGTGGTTCTAGAACTTCGTAGATATAACGCTGCGCGTTCATGTTACCTCTGATGAAGATTAAACGTGACCTGGAACCATAAGCTATAGCACCCCAAACCATAACTCCAACAGTGTGATGAACATGTCTTTCAACAAAAAACTGTGGATTCCTCCTTTCACCACGTCGCCTTCTAACCCTGGCACGACCATCGTGCATGCCTAAACAAAATCGAGACTCGTCACTTAAGACAATACTGTTCCATTCCTGATCCCAGAGTGACCGTGGTCTGCACCACTCAAGGCGATTACG